AAGATGAACAACAGCAAAAACAGCAGAAACAGCAACACAATCTATGATGACGAGGGAATGGCCCCCAACCTGGACATGCAGTGGAAAAATATAAGCAGATCTCAAGAAAAAAACTAATAATATATATATTACTATTATAACCTGAATATGATTAGTATTAGACATATTATAATCTTTTAATGGGGTTCCCAAAATACCAATCACTGTTCTTAACAATTTTATAAAGTTTTATCGTTATACAAGGGTCAACTAACTTTAACAAACTTACACTCATAGATGCCATGATTATGTATATTGATTGATGGATATTGATTTTCACTACGTCAGAATGTCAAGATTATGTAAACAGCAATCATTAATCATTTAATATAAAAACTTTAAAGATTTTTTTGTGTGCATAGTGCAACAGTTGCGCCGCTTGAGAGCATCCGTTTGTTGAAGTCCAGGGACGGCTTTTATTATTTTCATTGTTCTGCCTGTGGCGGTTCTTTAGGCCATATCTGCTGATGTTTCTGCCGCAATGAAAGTCGACAAACTCCGACTACGAAAAACAAACTCAAGTGAATTGCAATGATAGAGAGCCCAGTCAGCAGTAGAGCCAACATAAAAAACCAGAGGCAACCGACATAGAAAACTATAAAAAAATAAAAGAAACTAAAAGTAACAGGGGAAATGTAGTACAGTAATTGCTCGTAAAACAAAAGAATTTCTCATTTTATAATTCTTAAAGAATTGGAAATGTTGTTTAAAAAAAGGCAGGAATTTGTTTGGCATTTTGTTTTATAAGAGCTTTTCTAGTTAAAATGGAGGGATCATATTTTGTTTTGCCACATTTAATTTAAAATCTATATTTGGGATAGCTTCAGCATTGATCATGATACTAAAAATAAAATACCATAAAATAGGTACCAGTAGTATTTTTAAAATATACTGATTGCTAAAATATACTGATATAGGACATGTTCCAAATTGCTGCTGGAACTCAAAACCGTCAAAACCTTTTATGTAGAAGTATAAATTCTGTTTCTTGTTTTATGTCTGGATACTAAAAGCCAGTGATCACTGCACCTACAATGGATATTCAGGTCTCTGGTTGCCTGAGTGTTTTACGCTCGTCATCGACCCCACCCCATGGTAACTCCAATCCACATATCCCGAGCGGTTACCAAACAGTGTTTCTTTTATGGCCGGGGGCATGAAATTTGATTCTCGGAAGAGTTCATTTGTAGCCTAGCGGGATGGTGAGCTGATGGGATTGAAATTGGAATGTCTTTTCTTCGCTCGAAACCAGGTAACTTAATTAAAGTGCTTGCGACAGGGTTGCCGCGCCATGCAACTGCATTTGCTAGGGTTGTCGAGGCAACAGACAAATAACGGAAATATTATCGTTTGCCATTTACTAGGCAATAACATTTGGTAATGGCATTGGGCGTGTCCCTTGGGGGCGGGTTCTCCGACATCGGCCGAGGTTGTCAGGCTGTAAATTTGCTTTTTCCAAACATTTTTCACCGCCCTGCCTACGTCGGTTACTTTTGTTTTTATTACTTCCTCGTTTCGCACCGTTGTTCTTATTGCCATTGTTGTTATTCCCATCGACATTGCATCCCCGTGGGAGCTTGCAGGCGCCCGAAATTGCAAACACAGATTGGGGGAAAATAATAGTGAGTGTAGGAAAGAATTCTACATTTTTAAATTATAAAGTACTATATCATTTCGGATTAAATTTATGAAAAATGTTGGTGTTTCTGTATGAATAATACTATTTTTTATAGCACAAACTTAAAATGGGTAAGGCAGATTTTTGAGAACTAATCATATTTGAAAATCTTTAAAAAGTTGTAAATAACATTGGGATTATGAGAAGGGTATACAAAATTTTTAAGAACTAAACAAATTTGTAAACTTCATAAAGTTGTAAATAATATTGGGATTAGGTTTAGTCTTTGTCAAATTAAAAAAAAGATATATTTAATTTTTACTTTTTTACCAAAAAAATTAAAATATTATATTGTTAAAAACAGTTTAAAAAAATTTATTTTTTATACCAACTTGGGTTGATTACCAGACCGAAACTAATTTGATGATCCCAACTGTTTTTGGATGTAAACAAAAGTTGAGACAGAGATAGCACCACGTTAACCCGATCTGCGAAAGAGACGGCTGCAGTGGCGGTAGCAAACAACAAATAAGAAATAACAAATAGCAACGGGAGAAACAATAACAAAGCGCAAATTGTTTGCTTTTGTTGCCGACGAGGATAAATGCATTGATTTCTGACAGTCGACAGTCGGCGGCAATCGCTTTTTTTCGTGGCCAGAGAAGCGTGAAGAAAATAAGAGAAAGAAAACCCCTTTGGGGTGCTTTTTTCCCCCTTCACCACAACTGCCCCCTCACTGAAACACCGCTCAATTGGTTATTTTCATATTTCTTTTTTATGAAGTAGAATTGCCTGTTTTAAGCCACAGAGGCGGAAATAATTGGATTGTTTTATTAAAGAAAAGCTTACATATTTACCTTACATATGTACATATGTACATATGTACATTCCTCGGTGTCGGTTTTACATATTCCAATTTTCTCGTACTAAGCCGTTTTCCCTTTTTAACTTTTATTTTTAGGTGCGTTATAAAACTTTTTTAATGTCGTAATATCGAAAAATTGTTTATAACTTAACTAATTGATTTGTTTTTTGAAATTACTGCACATTTACATACATATGTACACACATATGTAATAAACAGACGCCATTCAAAAGTGAACAAAATGTACATATGTATGTAGATTACACTTTCGCGTCTCCTTTCCACAGAATCCAATTTAATTGATTTAATAAGGTAAGTTAATTTGCTTATGGCCACTTTAAGTCAGTTTCCATTTACTTTTGATTAATTTAATGGATTATTTCACAGGTCGCACTTGATTAAAAGGACGCTTGATGAAAAAGAATAAGCACACAAAGAGGAGAAGAATTTATCGATAGTTCTTCTTTTAGCTAGAGCAGGATGGCAACAGTGTAGGTCTGATCGCTTAAAGCAAGTGAAGGAAAAAAGAAAAACTTATTGTACTCGGTTCAGCTACAATATTAAAGTGTTCGTGTAGTACAAATAAATAACTCAAGAAGGCAGCTTTAAACAACTAATGAAATTTCAACTATTTCTTGTTAAAAAGCTTAGTTTGTATCAATTTTATTGTTGGTTCCCCCGACTCACCAACAGTGCACTTTGGTAGAGTAGGATGGCAACAGTGTACCTTCGTTAAGTTGTTTCAGTGTTGATCAATTTTGTGAAGATCGAATATATTTAACTAGCAAATGAAAGAGTTTAAATAAGTTTAAATGGAGTGAAGTTTTTTTGAATCTGCATAGTATAGTGAAAAAACAGCGGCTCACTGGCACCCTCTCGTAGGTGCGTAATGTTTGAGAACCATGCAATTTACATTTAATCGGGGGAATGTGCAATGTTTTTGAGCGACCGACAACCCCAATTTTTCGTGCACTTTTTGCTTGCAAATTTCGCTGACGACCGCAGTTGGATTTGCGTTTTACGTTTGAAAGGATTATGAACCGGTTTACTGTGGCCCTTCGCTGGGCGCATAAAAAACAAAGGGGCTTAACAATCCGGCTGGTCAGCGCCCGTTCCTCAGTGGGTGGTGGTTGGTGAGCAGTGATTTGCCCTTGGGGGTGGCTAACTACCCCCTTGTGCCACTCCCCCTGCCCACACCACCGCCGCCCACTTCATGCAAATGGCCAAACATTAAGGCGACACTTGAGTTGCGTCTACAAACAGCAAAGGGCCAAGAAATAGGACAGAATTTCAAATAAACGTTCTTGTTTGAAGTTCACTCCTGGTTTCTATAAGATTATATTTCAAATATAAGTATTACTTTACTTAATATTATAAGATGATAACTACAAGTTCACATTAAGTTGATATAACATAGTAATAACACTATTTTATTTTACTATTTATAAAATCACAGACCATAGTTGCAGATATATTTAAAGCAGTTGAGTAGATTTACCCAATTTATAAATAACAACCATTTCCCATTTTAAAAACACAAGGAAAAGTTATTCTTAAAATGGAGAAATTACTTTTAATTAACAAACAAATATAGTCGAATCATAGAGTCGAATCATAGTATCGAACCATAGAGTCGAGTCATAGAGTAGAATCATAGAGTTGAATCATAGAGTCGAATCATAAAGTTGAACCATAGAGTCGAATCATAGAGTCGGAGTAGTATCATCGATTCGAATCATAGAAGAAAATTAAGAATAGAGTCAAATCTTGATCATTTTTGGTGGTTGTTGAAGCCACTGGGGGACATACCGAATCTTAGTGGGCAACTAGGCCCCCTATGAAATATTGAGTACAAATTTGTTCTAGCTCTTCATCTTTTGAGATGGTTATTAGAATATTTTTTCAAATAAAAAATACATATTTTATTACATTTTAAACGACATTTACTCAGAACACATCATATTTTTGATCAGATTAAGAATGGAAATATTGTAAATTGTTTTTGTAAATAAATTTTTTTTAGAATTCGGATGAATTTTAAAACATAAAACCTTGCACAAACATATTTATTTAATTCCTTGAAATTTTCAACTATATATTATGTTGACCTGATCTGTTTCCAGCTGCATGTCAAAGACATGCCACCCCGTTCCTGGCGAATGCAAATGCAAACAATGGCCAAGGCTGCGACGGAAGGACAAGTCACGTGCTGCCCGTTCCCGAAGTCCATGTGTCCGCATGGCGTACTCCCCGTATTCCCTTCTATCCCTAAGTCCTTGCTCCGTACTCCTAATAAGCGGCAAATAATTGGCAGACGAACTTGAGACTACCCCAATGGCATGGGCATGGACATGGGGACCTGGCGATTGCCAGTGGCAACTGCAATTGCCACTAAAAATCGATACCAACCACCACACAGCCACCCTGCAGGTTGTCGATCCTTGCTGGAATGTTTGTTTGTTTGTTCGCCTGTCTCCTTTTCCTGGCCATCCCAACCGCTTTCCAGTCACCAGAGAGAAATCCGCTCTCAACTGCATTTGCATTGCATTGGCTTAAAGTACAGGTAAACCATACCATTAGTATTAAGTCTTCCTGCCCCAAATGACTAATAAAACCTAAGAAATACTCTTTTAGGTGAGCTGACTGGATGTGGGGAAATTTCTATCTACCTCTAATGAACAGCAATTAGAATTTCCGGCCATAAACTCTGTCAAGAACTGAAAAGCGTTAACCCAGAACCACGTCAACTGACCAAATTTGAGTGTCAAGCCCAGGTAACACAAACTTGAGACAGGGAGGGATTTGTAGGGCTGGCTGTGTTCGAAAATAACCAGTTCATGGAATCAAAAATGCATTTTAATGTTGTAGGACATACTTTGATGTTCAGGTACAGCTTATATTTTTAAAAGATACTTACTAATCTAGACTTTGATTAAATATTTTTCACATTTTTATGGTAGCATAACAAGTAAACACGATTCTAAACAAATTTATAAAACCATTTTTATAATATAACAGAATTTTTTGATACTCATACTAATAATACAGTAATTCGTAATACTATATAATATTAAAGACATTTTAAGTTGCTTTTACCAATGTAAAGTTGTAAATTTAACATTTGGTTTTCAAAATGTCACATATAAGTACTATTATACTGCGTATAGTTCGGAACCACTCGCAATCCGCTCCTGAAACTTGTAATGACAACGGCATACGATCATTACTGCCTTAGTAGTTGCATTCTGTCGCCCTGCTCAATGAACCATTCCATTTGCTGCAGTGGGCCCGACTTGGGCAGCGGACAATTAATACCGCCAGCGATGCGAATCTAATAATGTGACTACAATGACGACAATAGACCCGCTCTACGAGGCCCCGGCTCTTTAGCTCTCGGCGTTATGTAAGCAGGGCTGCGAACAAAGCTTGGCTTGGTTTTTTCGAAACCTGGGCAGCTGCAAAGTGTGATATGTGGCCGGTTCTAACGATACATCATTCTGATATATATGCCATGAGGTGTGGACTGTGTATACGTGTATACTACTTTTAGGTACGTCATAAATTAACACTAGCTCTGGCTGTTAGCCATTCGAAGATAGTGTCCCAGTGGGCGGTAGCTGGGCTCATAAATACAGCACAGGGAAAACAATTAACCATTGCATGTCGGTCGTGCCCAGAGCGTCTGTATCGAGATCCATGGACCATGGCCAGCGGTGGTGGTCAAGGTGCGTGAGATCGCCGATGGGTGATAACCAGCTGTGGAATTTGCAGTGGGTACAAATGAGCGATCGTTTATCCCAATGGGCTAACATGATCACAAAACATGCTCTCATTGAGGAGGGAAAACTTAATGACATCGATTGGGAATGGTTTTATGGCCCTTAAAGTAATTGAATTCGTTTTGTTGTTCCCTGAACATCAAGTAATAAACACTGTTTGATGTTGAAATGATTGGATTAGCCTTTACAACTTGAAATGGGTATTACTAAAAGGATCACTGATTATACAATTTATGTAAATAAGTCCTTATACATTTTTACCAATTTTTAAAAAGCTTCAAAGATACTTTACTAATGTTTTTACAAGCGGATTTTATTTCATTAATATTTTATAGATCACTACCTTGTTATTTGACATCCTTTCTAAAATATTTCTAAATAGTTTGGTGAGAAATACTCAAAATTGATATAATAGCACCGCATACCTTAATCACTATGTATTTCCAATAGCGAATAGTTAAATCTATTTGCCTATGTAATATTGAATTTCAAAGATAAATCTACTCCAGATCTACTCACCACCCTAACTCTCACTCTTAATACTCCCCAAATCCAATAAATCGTCAAAACAAAAGTGCAGCTAAGCTACAATAACAGTTAAGTGCGAAAAAACATGCACAGAATCATTGAAGTTGATTCCTAGTTTGGAATCAAAATATACAAATAAGGGAGATGCCAAATGGTGGGAAGATGTGCAATAGCACGGACCAACATCGATACCGAAATCCCGAAAAAAGCGAAACCCGAACCCGAATTAAGAGCGGTTCCACTCCCAGGAGCGCATATTCCCAGGCGATGATAATCGGACGGACGAACGGTAGCTAAAAGAACTAAGGGTGGTTACGACATGGAAAAAGTAACCCTCCAGTTGGTAACTGTAGAACTGCAATTGCATTCGAACCGAACTAAAGTGAAGCAACCCCCGATGTGGAATCCAAACCCTCGAACAATGGCCCATCCTTCGCCTCTTTTATCCCTTTAGTGATTTGATGGTGGCGCATTTGCAATGACAAACAACAATAAAAATTCGATATCAAGGCGATCGATCAATAAGCAGTTGCCAGCACACACACGCAATATCTTTTGCGTGAAATTTCAGACAAAGCGGCGACATATTTGGTAAGAGAGTTTTTCAAGGAGAGGTATATTTATGGTGCTCCCTAGATCGGGATAGTGGTGGCAGCTGCGCAGGCGCCTCGATTCCAACAGGGTTGTCATCTCACACACAGATTCGTGACTGATTTTGGTGGTGGATTCCAAAACTGAGAGTCTCGAAAACCAAACTGGGTACAGTAGCGCACTCGACTAACCAGAACGTTTATGCGCTGCTTGTATGATGGAAAATTATTCATAGCTTAACACTAATATCGTAAATAATGAAAACAGAAACTATGAATACTGTGTTTATTACCCTTTTAATGGTTTCCCTTGTCGTAATAAGAGTAATCTCTTGGGTTAGAAACTTTATTTTTAAAAACATACGTTTGGTTAAATGTTTTAGATATTCTAATACGGTTATAATACCTTACACATATATACATATTAATTTTCTGTAATGCTTTAGGTGTTAGTTTTAATCACCATCAAAAATCTTGGTGCAGAATATACTATGAACATTTTTAAAACATTGATTTCTTTTCGATAACCATATTTTAATGATTCTTTTTACATCCTATATTTTAAGGCATTTCGATCTTCCAACGCATAAACGGCTAAGCATGTCCTCATCACTTGGATACGAACATTTGTCATTGTCTCAAACATGGCTCTAACTGTTTTCCATCCTAAAAAGGGGTGACATGCGTCGTTTGTCCAATTTGTTACGCAATCAAACCGTCGCCTGGACTCCTCTGAAAAACGTGCATGTTGGAACCCAAGTCTACGTCCAAGTCCAGGCCTTTTAGCTGGTAATTGGTTTGTTATTATAGCAAAAGCGAGGCACACGAAAGTGCAATGAACTTGGGTTCAAAAACAAGAGAAGAGAGATTTTTTTCGTTGATTTATAGAAAGAGGAAAGGATCAGCTGCCTTCTGATCTTGGCACGTACTAGGAGGAACCCTCCCTTTCAAACTTCGCACCTTTTTCTTTTACGATTTTGCCCTGTAATTTATGGGTCTAGAAAACAGCTGACGAGAGAAGAAACCTTTCTTTCCTTTTTTCATTTATTTATTTCAGGCATTCCACCCATAATTAAAGGGAATAGGATCTGAATCTCACACCCAAAGGATCGTTTTCGGTTAGGTCCAATTTTTCCCATGCCTCAGTCAAAGTTCAGGAAAAGATTTATGGGAAAACCAATTGAAATGCCAAGAACTCTGATATCTCAAATGGGGGGCTCTAAAAACCATTTCCATACCGAACAGTTGCGCTATAATAGTATGAGGGTGCTATTCTCGTTCTTTTGTTGTCCAGAAAATTACTAAACGTCACCAACTACGAGGGGAAGTGTATTCTATGCAACTCTCTAGACTGGGATGCCATTTAACGACACCAAAAAGCACAAAACTCAATGATTCAATGATACTTTATCGTCAAATGTAATCTTCTTGAGAAGGGGGACTATGAAGTGACATCATATACGTTGGGTGGAATGGCTGAAGTATACCAGTCCAATTATGAGGGCTATATATTTCCAGAGAATGTTTCAATCAGTGCCGAAGTTTATTAAAACTTATATTTGTAAATGATGTAATTGAATATTGATTTCAAAGGGTTAACTCAATTGATGCTGAGTTGTAAAAACAGTGTTACACCGCAATGTATAGGGGGTAAAATACAGTCAATCAAGAACTTTTAATGGGAAATAAAAAGTTCAGAACATAAAAAAAGAAGTGGAATGTTTAAGCAAAACTGTAAATTTTTTTGTAATAAGATTATTAGTTATAAGTTTTTATATTTGAGAAGAATGTTTTCAACTTTATACTATGTACTTTATATTTTTTTTGCGAAGCATGTTTTGTGCGGATACCCGCATTCTCCATTAAATTTCTGTTTCGGTGTAAAAATTGTAATCAAATTAATCACGGCGCCGCAGAAATCTGTGTACACATTGTTAACTTGATTGCCCTTTGTTGCTATTGGAAAATAATTTTTCTCTATTAAATTTTCCTCGAATTGATGTCGATGAACCTAAACCAATTCGAAACGAACCAAGATTTGTAATTTAGTTTATCATTTATTGTTATTTAATCCTTTGGCCAGGCCACCATGCACATCCTGGACAGATGTCGATGTCTGTCTAGGTGCAGTGTTCCCTTTTTAATGCCTTGTTCTCGGGATTAATGTGAGGGCAAAAACCAGAGGGTGGTGATCGGGGGAAAGCATGTGTGCTGATTTTTGCACTATGGTGGGTCTTAGGCCGTATTAATTTTCAATAAGTGCATTGAGCTCTATGAATTGTTTGATAAATGGCACAGCGGGTTAATCCAGCATGCTGATAATGGAAGAGAGCAGCCCCTTTCTAACCGCATATGGAACTGCATTCTGAGCACGTTTCATTCAGGAAAAATAACGTGACTAGACAAAATTAACCACAACTTTTTTAATCCTTAAGTTGGATAAAGTTTGACTTTTCAGTGAATTTTATTTATAAATAAGGGGTATCTATACAAAAGTTTTAAGTAAGAAAATTAATAATTTATTTTGGAGTCTTAACTTAAGATAGCAACCAGCAGCCCATAAGTATGCTATAAATATAATGATTTTTATCCAATACACAAACCATATAAATAGCTTTACCGTATATGAATCGGTTATATGGTCTATGCCTACGATATACGACACGATATGCTTTATTAATTTAGGGATGCAAAACACACTTTAATAAAACAAACTATTGAAAAATGTGTTCTTCCACATGTTAGTGTGAAGTACACTTACCGAAACGCGTAATATCTGTGTTATATTATTAAATGTTTATTGCTAAAGTGGAGTACACTTACCGAAATGCGTAATAGCTTTGTTATATTATTAAAACTTATCTGCAATTAATCTTT